ACACTTCCTCTCTTGTTGCAGTCGGATGTTGGGTTTAGAGTATCAGTCTAAAAGAGGTTATATTGGGTTAGAATACTATGGACGGACAGTAGGCATCAAGATTATGCCCGTCGGGATACATATGGGTCATATTGAGTCCATGAAGAAACTTGCAGCGAAAGAGTTGATGCTTAATGCGCTAAAGCAGCAATTTGAAGGGAAAACTGTGTTGCTAGGTGCCGATGACCTGGATATTTTCAAAGGTATAAACTTAAAGCTTCTAGCTATGGAACAGATGCTCAAACATCACCCCAAGTGGCAAGGGCAGGCTGTGTTGGTCCAGATTGCAAATCCTACGAGGGGTAAAGGAGTAGATTTTGACGAAATACAGGCTGAGATATCGGAAAGCTGTAAGAGAATCAATAAGCAATTCGGCAAGCCTGGATATGAGCCTATAGTTTATATTGATAGGCCCGTGTCAAGCAGTGAACGCATGGCATATTACAGTATTGCAGAATGTGTTGTTGTCACGGCTGTGAGGGATGGGATGAACCTAACTCCGTATGAGTACATTGCTTGTCGACAAGGAATGTCTGGCTCAGAAGCAGATTCAGATGTAGATGAACCTAAGAAGAGCATGTTAGTTGTATCTGAATTCATTGGGTGTTCACCTTCACTGAGTGGGGCCATTCGAGTCAACCCGTGGAATGTTGAAGCAACTGCCGAGGCAATGAATGAGGCTATATCTATGGCTGAACCAGAGAAGCAGCTACGACATGAAAAGCATTATCGTTACGTTAGCACCCACGATGTTGCTTATTGGGCAAGAAGCTTCTTGCAAGATATGGAGAGGACTTGTATGGATCACTTTAGAAAAAGATGCTACGGCATTGGTTTGGGCTTTGGGTTCAGAGTTGTGGCCCTTGACCCTAACTTTAGAAAGCTTTCAATTGATGATATTGAGTCAGCTTATATTAAGTCTAAGAGCAGGGCCATATTCCTCGACTATGACGGAACTATGATGCCTCAGAATTCTCTCATTAAGTCTCCAAGTCCTGAAGTTATCTCAATCCTGAATAAAATTTGTGGTGATCCGAACAATACTGTCTTTATCGTTAGTGGAAGGGGAAGGGACAGCCTGAGCAAATGGTTTTCTCCTTGTAGGAAACTCGGTCTTGCAGCAGAACATGGCTATTTTGTGAGGTGTGTTTTTGTTCTCTTTCCTTTTACAATATATGTTCTGTTGTGAGGAGCATTTAATGAATCTTTCTATCTTAAAAGCTATATCTTTCCATCCCGCATTTAAAGTTAACTCAGGGATTATTATGACCAATCTCCCTTCTCCCAAGAGTGACAGAATACTCCTGTATCTTCTGATCTTTCGAGGCTTATTTGAGAACAGTGCAAATCCATTCCTTAATCATTTTGCTCAAAGTAGAATGTATCATCATATTACGACTTCTCTCCACCTAGTCATGCCATGTGTCTTTGTTGGATGTCCACCTAGTAATGTCAAAAGATTTGAAGCTTGCTTGAAATAAATTCTGGTTTCCTCCATGAAAAGCTATCACAACTACCCGCTTGAGTAGATGGGAAAAGAAAGGATGACTAAGCAGTGATCACAGTGGGTGAAAACTGAGGTAAGGAAGAGGATAGAGTAATTCTGGTGGAAAATCATGCCGGAATAGGTTGTTCCACTGTCCTAGGAAGTAGGAAAGAGAACTATCCCGGGAAGAGTGCCTGGGAGCATTTTTTGGTGTAAAACAATATTCTTGAGCATTTTCATGATATTATTCCACTCCTTTCTCATTGCTTTTACGCTATCCTTAGGACACTCCCATTCATCATTATAGCATTGATCTAATTCTTACCATTCGTATACTTACTGAATTTTTTTGATAATGAACATTTATTTTTAAATTAAAAATATATAACTGTATGGGGTTGAGAGTGCTCACTTGGTGAGCTCCTTGCCTTCCACAGATGAGATGGAGGGTTCAAACCCTATCAGTAGTATTCCCCTTTCCCCCCTGCCCCTCCCCTGATGTAATAAAAATTTTGAAAAACAAAAACAAGCATATATAACTGTGTAATCACTACTTGTGAAACCAAGCACTACACATGGAATTGCCTAGTAATTACGTTATGACAAACAAACATGCCTTTGTAATTTCTAAGCTTTGTAGTTACTAGATCGGTTAATTACTAGGGCCAGCCTCATATCGTAAGGATCTACTGGAAATTTGCGAGGGATGTTGCATAGAATGATATTTTCGTCTCTAGAACATCCTAAAAGGGAAAATTTAACATAAACTGGGAAGGGAGAACATTTTAGAACTCCAACAAAATGCTAGCTTTAGTTTTTTCCATAATGATTTTCTTGATAAGATAAGATAAATTTCATCAAAAGAGTACCAAGGAGGTACTACAAAGATACAAAATTAGACCTTAGCTGTTACAATTATATCACCAGAAGTCCAGAACATCCGGAAAATCAAGATACTGAAATAAGTTCACTATCATATTTCTCCTGCACCAAAAGCATAAATTCACAAAAGAAATATGATTCATTTGGTCTTCAAAACATCTCTTATTTCTTTCCAATCAATATATTTAACTGAGGAAGCTAACTATATGAGTATATGGTCTAAATTATAAACATTGCTCATTTGACACCAGAACGCCTAATGCTGAAATACATCTGGACATAAGGTTACTTTTGTCTTCCTCTTTGCTCTACATAACTATGAGAATCCTTTTCTCTCCAAATTTTCCACCAAAATGCCGGCCAACACTTTTTTCCTTTTCTGTTGCTTCTCCTTGTTAATTCCTTTCCTTATCCCACTGTAGAATAACTCCTTAGCTGACACTGAGTCTACCTTACCCAGTGGCGGAACCAAAAATTTATACAAGGGGAGTCAAACAAATTCTAGGGTGTCACAATTGGAATTTAAACCTATGACCTAAAGCAATTTTGAAACCCCTTTACATATTTGAAGTTTTCTTCATGTCAAGGGGATTCAATAGCTCATATGTAACAAAAGAAGATCATTTTTACTCTATTCGAACATTGTAATTTTAAGCCGAACCCCCTTGACAGTACCTAGTTCCGCCACTGACCTTACCTGGAAAATGTTCGAAGTAGCTGCCAAAGCTGTGATGCCCTTTGAAGCTGTAAAAGCAGGTGGTGATGTCCTCTTCTCACTTATAATATCTGTTACAAAAAATCAATCCCCTCTTTTGCAGAGTGCCTCGACTCAGAGCAGCCTCATGAGCCAAAATTCAATTGATCTGCTACTTTAGGTGGAGCTTTGCTTCTCCATATCCTCTAGCGCCATTATCGTCCCAGTAGTAGTGGCAGTGAGGGATTTATAACACGAATAAGCGGAGAAAATATCATTCTGTGGGAGGGTCCAAATTAGTCTATCAGGTTCAGGTCCAACGTCCAGTGTCTGCATAACTTCCCGTCCCTGTAATAGTTGAGTGAAACTTTAGATCTCTTAACCATTTCAATTCTTCCTCAGTTTAATCTACTAACACTGTCGTATTCTGCATTGAGCTATTGATGCCTCTGCAATCTGTGCTATGCTTAAAATGTCAAGAAACAGTTTTGATAGGGGAATGGACTTGCCACGGATCTTGTCAAGATAGGATTCAGGTTCTCATACTAATATGTAGTTGATGAAATGTGTATTTTTGTTTTTCATGTTTCTTTCTAAAATATGCTCCCTCTCCCAATTTATGTGGCAATGTTTGACCGGACACGAAGTTTAAGAAAAAAATAAAGACTTTTGAAACTTGTGTTCTAAAATAGGGTAGACTTTTGTGCGACTAAGTTTAATTGTTTCTAAATTAGGAAGCATGATATTCTTTCTAGGACAGACTAAAAAGGGAAGTATCCCACATTAATTGGGACCGAGGAGGTAACTTTTTTTTCCAGAATTAATGGTGGAAGACTATATTGTTAAGAAATTTGTACTTTCAGGGTCTTAGAAATTAGGAATTAGGTTGGGTTCAACAGTCAAAATATAGTTGGCAAAAGGTTCAATTCTGTTCAGCTTAACCATCTAGATTGCCCCCTTCTATTCTTGTTGTCTTGTGATTTGCATTTGATAAAGCATTTGAAATGTTGTTACTGGAAAAAAGTATTTGAAATTAATATTTTTATTTCTTTTGATAAAGAAAGCATTTGAAATTATTGTTGAGATACCTCTCTCTCCTTTTTGTAGTTTGGTAAGTGGACCACATGAATTCACCCTAGCTCCTCATTTGTTTCGTTGAGCTCAAGCTTGTCTTCTTTGACTTTGCTGATGTTTATCTTGTGATGTGACAGATGGTCACAAGATCTGGAATGGCAAACATGCAGTCAGAACTCTGATTTTGGTTGGATGCATCTTGCCGAACCAGTAATGCAATCCTATACAGATTCTACAGATGGATCTTGCATTGAAAAAAAGGAAAGTGCTATAGTGTGGCAGTATCGTGATGCGGATACCGGCTTTGGGTTTTCTCAGGCAAAGGAGATGCTTGATCATCTAGAGAGTGTTTTAGCAAATGAACCTGTTGCTGTCAAAAGTGGGCAGTTCATTGTGGAAGTCAAACCTCAGGTATGTATACTTTTCCCAACTACCAAATTGGTTGTTTCATTCTAACTATTGATGATGTTTGACTTCTCCATCTTTGGTAGATTGCAGTCGCTTAAATGTTGTTCCTAACACATGGTCTGAATATATTTACTTCTCTTTTTCCATTCTAGGGTGTCACCAAAGGTTTAGTTGCAGAAAAAATCTTCACATCGTTGGCAGAGAAAGGGAAAATGGCAGATTTTGTGCTTTGCATTGGTGATGATCGATCTGATGAGGATATGTTTGAGATCATCGGTGATGCTTTATCCAGAAATATTCTTTCTTATGATACCAAAGTATTTGCCTGCACAGTGGGACAAAAACCAAGCAAAGCTAAATATTATTTGGATGACACTTCAGAGGTTAGACTTATGCTAGAGTCTCTTGCTGAAGCAACTCTTACTCCAGCGACTTCTGATGAAGAAGCTGACAACTCGGATTGAACGTAAGCTGATAATAGCCTTGGTTTTGTTTGGTTTCCTTCTTACTGCATATATACATATTCCAGGTTGGGCCAGTGACTTTTGTCTCTTTCATAGTTAGCTTTAGGTTTAAGAAACTGGAATTACAAATTCCGCTCATCATTCTTTCCTTTTGACATTGATCCATTCTTTTACCCCTTGCCTGGAATTATCTTGTGTGATAAGTGGAGTACTGAAGTTAGAAACTGCCAAAATTCTCGAGTCCAATGAACATTTAGGGACCCATTAGAAGGAAGGAAACGAGGCACAGATGAGAGGCATGGTATCAACTATTTTACAAAATAGGCAGCGAATTTTGCTGAACTGAAACTTTTGACCACTCCTGAATTATGCTGGAACGAATAAAGAGCTGACGTTTATTGCGGTGGATAAGCTTATTTTGAAGGTTGTCTTGTGACTGCTTGACATCAAAGAAATACATTTGGGTTTATGTAAGATTTCAGGTTAGACAAGAATTGTGTTGATGGACATGGAATCTGTTGTGGTAAATAAGCATCAACATGTGGATTGAGGCGATGGTATTTTGGCGATCTTATTGTACAGACTCTTAGGTGATGAAAGGGATGTATTATCTCGATTTCTTTTTTGGTTCATTTGGAAAGTATTGTGTGGATACAGGTAATGCAATAATATTTCCTATAAATTGGTAAACCTTCTGGTGTTTTACTAATGATAAAACTCACTTTCTGGTGTCAAGCATTCATTTTGTTATAACTTGGTGAGTACTGATTATCTCCATCTCATTTTTCTGTTTGTCTGTTCTTTTTCCCTTTCCCTTTTTGGACCATATTGTAAAATACAATGCTGTGATTTGTAATTTTGTACTAAATTAAAACAAAAAACCCAGTGTAGGGTATGCGGACCTTATCCCTATCTAGTAGGTTGAGAGGATGTTTCCGATAGACTTAAATGTACTAAAGCATGCAAGTCAAATGAACGTTACTAACCATCTATGAATGTTGTGAACATCAATTCCCCAAAAGATAAAACTCTTGCTAGTATTGTCACTTCATAGCAGAGTTATGGAGAATCTGATCTGAGACAAGTGAATACTGGTTTTAGAAGAATGTCCAAAGCACATGGAATGATACAACTCCCTATTCCTGGAAAAAAATAGTACCACCGAGGATCCACTAGTTTAATTATCGAATGAAAATGACATACATTGCTTAGTATTGTTAGGTAACATGTTATCTCGTGAAATTAATTGAGGTGCGTGACGACCGGAGATAATTTCCTCACGTCTTCCATAATATCTACCAGGAAAGTAGAAGCAGACTCTTTCTCCTGTGTGAGAAGTGAGACTCCTCCACATTTCGTTTTTCGAGATCAAATTTTTTATTTTTGACGAATATTTGAATATATATATATTACTATAAGTCACAATAATTAATGATCTTAATTTATGTGATGATATTTGACTAAGCACGGAGGTGAAAAATGAAAGAAAAGTTTTTGGAAAAAATTTCTGTGCCTATAATCATCAAATAAAGGATAAACAAAAAAGTTTAAAAGTTAAAAATGTTACTCCCACCGTCCCAATTTATATGGTGGTATTTGACTCAGCATAAAGTTTAAGAAATAAATGAAAACTTATGAAATTTGTGGTCTAAACAAGCGAAAGATATTGGTGTGATTATTAATTATCTCATTAAGGGTAACGTAGAAAATTTAAAGTTAAATTGTTTCTAAGTAAGGAAGTATGATAAATTTTTTGGAATATACTAAAAAGGAAAATATGACACATATTGGGACAAATGAAGTATTAAATATCGAAAAATGTCAATTTTTATGGGACCGACTAAAAAGAAAATAATGTTACATAAATTGAGATAGAGAGTATTATTTTTCTAAATCTAAGTTTGATTTTCTTAATTAAAATGTACGGCTCGTATGTGTTCGCATACGGCTCATTTGCTGTAACAGACGTGACTAAACGAGTGGCATGGATGCAGTAAATAAGTAGTTACAATACTTATTCGTATTTGGTATTTACGCTAAATTATATTAATTTATTCTAATTAACTAGTTTAATAAAGTAAGAATGCAAAATAATTAAGGGTTAGAAGTCTTAATTAAATATTTGTCTTGTATATATTGGTATGACGTAAAAATTGAGCGCGATTAAATTTTTAATGGCCACACAAAATGTAGTGATCATTCTTTAGCTTTTCACAATGATCATCGTTGTCAGTCATGTGATTTCGATTACAAATATTAAATGATGGCGATAAATATCAAAATAGTCCGTTATCGTCCAGCGGTTAGGATATCTGGCTTTCACCCAGGAGACCCGGGTTCGATTCCCGGTAACGGAATTTATGTTTTGGATCCAAAAAAGGTGGATTCACTGAAATCTATAAATGCACTTCAATTTTAAAAAACGACTACGTATTCTCATGCTAAATTGCTAGTTGCGTTCTAAGTTTCCGTTCCTTCGCCATTTCAAAGAAGGATATATATTGCTAGAAAATAAGAGAAGCTGGAATTATTAAACTCCATGAACATTACTAGTTATATGGGTTTTGAGGTGTTTTTTACTACTCAAAACCAACCAAATGAAAACAAATGGGGTGAAAGGTGAACTGCCATATTTTTGTGTGTTTGTGAGAGAGAAGCAGAAGGATTAATAGTTAAAAGACGTCTCAAAAAAAAAAAAACGAGGAAAGGTCGTGACGAAGCGATAACTATTATTTCTTAGGTCGTTTTTTATGGGCCCGCAAAATTTTAGGCGATTCAAAGGCGGTCGCCCGAATTCATGCAGAAGACGTGAATTATATAGCACACGAAAATCTCGAAATCGTGCTGAATTCTTGTTTTATGGTCCTAAAACGCCCAAAAATGAGGAATAATCATGGCGAAGTGATAACTATTGTTCCTTAGGTCGTTTTTGTGGTCCGGCAAAATTTTAGGAGATTCAGAACTGGTCAACCCGAATTCATGAAGATGGAATGGGCTATAGCAAATGAAAAATTGAAAATCGTGCTGAATTCCCGTTTAGGGCTCTAAAATGCCAAAAACAAAGAACGGTTATGACGAAACAATGACTATTGTTCCTAGGATAAGCTTTGATGGGCCCACAAAATTTTAGGAGATTCGAAGTACGTCGCCCAAATTCATGCTGATGGCGTGGACTATATCACATGAAAATCTGAGAATCATGTTGAATTCCTATTCTTTGGCCCTAAAACGCCAAAAAATAAGGAATAGTCATGGCAAAGCGCTGACTATTGTTCCTCAGGTCGTCTTTGATGGACCAAAAATTTTTTAGGCGGTTTTGGTCCGGTCGCCCAGATGCATGCAGATGGTGTGGGCTATAGTACAAGAAAATCTAAAAATCGGACGGAATTTCAGTTTTTTGGCCCTAAAACACCAAAAATAAGGAACGGTCATGGCATAACGATGACTATTATTTCTTAGGACATTTTTGATGGACCGACAAAATTTTAGGCGGTTCGGGTCTGGTCGTCCAGATGCATGCAGATGACGTGGACTATAGCACACGAAAATCCAAGAATCGTGCTGAATTCTTTTTTTTTGGCCCTAAAACGCCAAAAATAAAGAGCAGTCATGGTGAAGCGATGGATATTATTTCTCAGATCATTTTTGATGGACCCGAAAATTTTTAGAAAATTCGGAGCCGGTCGCCCGAATTCATGCTAATGGCGTGGACTATAACACATGAAAATCTAGGAATCATGCTGAATTTCTATTTTTTGGCCTAAAACGCAAGAAAATAAGGAACTGTCATGGCAAAGCGGTGATTATTTTTTCTTAGGCCGTATTTGATGGGCTCGCAAAATTTTAGGCGATTCGGAACCGGCCGCCCGAATTCATGCAGATGTTGTGGATTATAGCACACAAAGATTTGGGAATCGTGCAGAATTCCTATTTTTAGCCCAAAAATACCAAAAATAAGGAACTATCATGGCAAAGCGATGACTATTTTTCTGTAGGTCGTGTTTGATGGGTACGTAAAATTTTAGGCGATTCGAAGCCGGTCAGCTGAATTCATTTAGATAGCGTAAACTATCGCATATGAAAGTCACGAAATCGTGCTGAATTCCTGTTTTATGACCCTAAAATGCCAAAAAATAAGAAACAATCATGGTGAAGCGATGTCTATTGTTCCTTAGGTCAATTTTTGTGGTGTGGTAAAATTTTAGGAGATTCGGAGCTGGTTGCCCGAATTTATGCAGATGACAAACTATAGAACACAAAAATTTGGAATCTGGCCCTAAAACTCCAAAAAATGAGAAATGGTCATGGTGAAGCAATGAATATTGTTCCTTAGGTCATTTTAATGGGCCAAAATATTTTTAGGCAGGTGGACCTGTCCGGTTGCCCGGATGCATGCATATGGCATTGGCTATAGCACATGAAAATCTAAGAATCAAGCAAAATTCCAGTTTATTGGCCCTAGAACGCCAAAAAATGAGGAACAATCTTGGTGAAGCGATGACTATTGTTCTTTAGGTCATTTTTAATGGTCAGAAAAATTTTAGGCGGTTCGGATCTGGTCGCCCGGATGCATGCAGATGCCGGTAAACGAAATCTGGGATCGGGCGAAATTTTAGTTTTTTTGGCCCTAAAACGTTACAAAATGAGGAACGGTCGTGGCAAAGCAATAACTATTGTTCCTTAGGTCACTTTTGATGAGCCGACAAAATTTTAGGAGGTTCGGGTCCGGTCGCCCGGATGCATAGCACACAAAATTCTGGAAACCAGGTGGAATTTCAATGTTTTGGCCTTGAAATACCAGAAAATGAGGAACGACCATGGCGAAGTGATGACTATTTTTCTCAGGTCATTTTTGATCTGTCGACAAAATTTCTGACGGTTCGGGTCCGGTCTCCCGGATGCATACATATGGCTTGGGCTATTGCACTTGAAAATCTAAGAATCATGCGTAATTCTAGTTTTTTGGGCATAAAACGCAGAAAAGGAGGAACGGTCATGGCGAAGCATTGTTCCTTTGGTTGTTTTTGATGGGTCGGCAAAATTTTAGGCGATTCGGGTCCGATCGCACAGATGCATGCACATGGTATGATTTATAACATACGAAAATTTAGGAATCACACGAAATTTCTGTTTTTTGGCCCTAAAATGCCAAAAAATGAGGAAAGGCCATGGCGAAGCGATGGCTATTGTTCCTTAGGTCGTTTTTGACGGTCCAAAAAAATTCTAGGCAATTCGGGTCCGGTCGCCCAGATGCATGCGAATGACGTGGGCTATAACACACAAAAATCTGGGAATCAGGCGGAATTCCAGATTTTTGGCCCTAAAACGCCAAACATAAGGAACAGTAATGGCAAAGAGATGACTATTGTTCCTTGGGTCATTTTTTATGGGGCGACAAAATTTTAGGTGGTTCGGGCCTGGTCGCCCGGATGCATACAAATGGCGTGGAATATAGCACACGAAAATCTAGGAACCGTGCTAAATTCCTTTTTTGGCCCTAAAACATCAAAAACGAAGAACGTTCATGGCAAAGGGATAACTATTAATCCTTATATCATTTTTGATGGGCCCGGAAAATCTGAAAATCATGCTGAATTCCTATTTGTTGCTCCTAAAACGCCGAAAAATAAGGAAAAGTAAAGGAGAAGCGATGACTATTGTTCCTTAGATCATCTTTGATGGGCCGACAAAATTTTAGGCGGTTCGGGTCGGATCTCCCGAATACATGCAAATGGCGTGAGC